TTGCTATCCGTTTTCGTCCGTCATCGTCCGTCGTTCGTCGTGCATTAACATTTGAACATTTTCAGCTTCTTCTCCAAAACCACTGGACCAATTTCAACCAAATTTGACAAATAGTATCTATGGGTGAAGGGAAAAAAAATTGTGAATTTCATGATCCCTGCCCCCCTGGGGCCTGGGGGTGGGGCAAAAACCACTAAAGTTAGTGCAATCTTTAAAAATCTTCTTCTTTACTCCTGGAAATCAAGCAGTCACACTGTTGATATAATCGTAATCAGCACTGAGTCCTCTACAAAAAATTGTGAAATTCATGGCCCCAGGGTCAGGGGTTCTAGTGCTAGGGCGGGGCTAAATAAGTTATATAGTGAAAATACATTATTTCTCTGAAATTCTTCTTTTCTGCTCCTGGGCATTAAATAAACTAACCAAGTGCATAGTTAAGTTGAAAATGACTGCCTCTTTCAAAATTGTGAATTTAATGGCCCCAGGGTCAGGGGTTATAGTGGTAGAGTGGGGCTATATAGATTATATTGTGAAAATGCATTATTTAATTGAAATTCTTATCTTGCTCCTGGACATTAAATGAACTAACCAAGTACATAGTTAAGTTGAAAATGACTGCCTCTAGTGGTAGGGTGGGGCTATATAGATTATATAGTGAAAATGCAAAATGTGGCCCCAGGGTCAGTGTTCCTGTGGTATGGAGTGCATGCACAACTGTGTACCAACACTAACACAAGAAGCCCTGACCCAGGTGCCCTGACATACACAAAAAGTGGAAATGCATTTTCTCTTTGTTACTCTGATCTACCTCTGGGTATTAAGTAACCAAAGTAAGCATGTTGATTATATAATTATGATAAGCAATGGTGCCTCTTTCAAAATTGTGAATTTCATGGCCTCTGGTTTAAAACATGAATCAAATTCAATTGTTGAAAAGTTGTCACATGATACTCAGGTGACCTATAAGGCCCATGGGCCTCTTGTCATTGTAAAGAGAGAAAGAGAGAGAGAGAGAGAGAGAGAGAGAGAGAGAGAGAGAGAGAGAGAGAGAGAGAGAGAGAGAGAGAGATTTGGTCTAACTCTTATACTTACAAACTCCTAACTTCTGAGAGATTTTTTCTTCCTAAATGATGCAATATACAATGACAAAAATAAGCTCTCGAAAATCAATCAAGTACATTTGTAATAAATGAAGAAAATGAAAATTTTGAGAAGCCTTGTTTTAACAGCAAAACTTTTGAGCTAACACCATACAGATATTAAACCACCAGCAGTGTTCACAAAAGTGAAAAGAAGACAATTACAGAGACAATCGACATATCCAAGAAACATTTTTGTTTCCCACTCTACCCCTTAAACTAGAAATCATAGAGTCAATGAAATTTGAATCTCTATAAATAAAAACATTTTTATATCCCACTCTACCCCTTAAACTAGAAAACATAGAATCAATGAAATGTAGATCTCTATACTAGTAAATAAAAGTCTGACACGTGCCAATTCTACCTGTGTGAAGGTGGAACTCTGTTTCAATAGAATACAGTGCTGTAACGGTTATGTAATGCGGATTTAATTACAAAATCTGTGACATGTTTCTTATTTTTAGTAGTGAGAAGAAAACGCTTAAGATAAAATCAGAATGCTCTAGAAAAAGCTTTTGTTGGGAAAAAAAACCACACAATAAAACGCCTTAAAGATAAAGCAACGTGTTCTGTAAATCTGTCGTGATATAGAGAAAAAACACGTATCGTCAAATTCATCATCTGTCTATGGAAATGTGGGCGTGAAATCCAACTAATCTAGAACATTGATCTAAATTAAAATAATACTTTCTTCCTAATAAAGTAAATAAATAGTTACATTATTGTCAGAAAATCTCTTGAGATTTGTTCCGAGGGAAATTGTTCATTTAAACAAAACGGTTGATAGAGTGCATCGAAAAGGTTATTGTATAAGATTTTTCAACTCAAGGGACTTCTTTAGCTCTTGATGAATCAAGTCTTTTTTTCTTTTGATAATATTCATATTTGTGCTGAGAATTCTTCATGATATGTTTTATTCTGAACTTTTTTTACTATATGCTTCTTTTAAAATATGCTTCATTAAAGTCTAATACTTCCTCATCCAATTCTGAGACTTCTTCATTACAGGCTAATACTTCTTCATCAAATGTTGAGACTTGTTCATTACAGGCTAATACTTCCTCATCAAATGCTGAGACTTCTTCATTACATGTTAATACTTCTTCATCAAATGCTGAGACTGCTTCATTACAGGCTAATATTTCTTCATCAAATGCTGAGACTGCTTCATTACAGGCTAATACTTCCTCATCAAATGCTGAGACTGCTTCATTACAGGCTAAAACTTCCTCATCAAATGCTGAGACTGCTTCATTACAGGCTAATACTTCTTCATCAAATGTTGAGACTTGTTCATTACAGGCTAATACTTCCTCATCAAATGCTGAGACTTCTTCATTACATGTTAATACTTCTTCATCAAATGCTGAGACTGCTTCATTACAGGCTAATATTTCTTCATCAAATGCTGAGACTGCTTCATTACAGGCTAATACTTCCTCATCAAATGCTGAGACTGCTTCATTACAGGCTAAAACTTCCTCATCAAATGCTGAGACTGCTTCATTACATGCTAATACTTCATTACATCTCAAGACTTCTTCATTACAGACTATTTCTTCGTCCCCATATCTTGATGCTTTTTTATTATTATACATAGCAAAACGTCTTCATTACATACATGCTGATACATGTACTTCTTTATTACATCCAAATACTTTTTCATTACTTTTATACATGTATTTGATGATACTTCGACATAGTATACCAAAACTTTAGCTTAGGTATAACATGACAACATTTGAATAATTTTAATATTAACATACAACATTTATGCCAATTTTGTTTTCAATATTTGTAATTATTTTTTTTAAAAAATGATAAAGTTTAAAGTTTGGTGAAATGTTTAAATCAAAAACTTACATGTAAGGCATAGCAGGAGTCTTGATTAAAATATCATGAATGCATTGGAGAAGCTAAGGTTTCAATGAGCTAATGAATGTGTTTTGCTTGTGAATAGAAGGATTGGAAGTTGCATGTATGTTGGTAACTCTAACAGAGTCAAGAGGAGGAAACATAAAGCTGAAATCAGAGAAATAAGACTACTTTTATACTCGTTTAATGATATCAAACTAGAATATGCTATTACCCTTTAATTCTTGTACGGTGATATTTTTTGCATGCTTTTAATTTTTACTAAACCATGAATAAAGAAATTGAACATGTTATATTCCGTATTTTGACAGTTTATCCAAATAGACGAGCCTCTTAAGGTTTTGATATTTTGTAATTTTCTGATAGTGATTTTTTTGTAAATTTCTAGGAGTGTTTATTAAAATAACCGAAACTATCGAAAAGCAAGACAATGAGACATTTCAAAAATTAAAATATCATTAAAAAGCTATTGCATGTTTTTGTTTTGAGAAACTGCTTATAAATATCCAGAAAAGGATAGAACAATGTAAGCTGTTGCTTGTAAGCTATCTCAAAATAAAATTTAAATTATAACAGAGATAATGTATTTTAAAATCCAGATTGCCTCAAAATAAATTAATTTTATCAGACAAAGGATTATTTTTTTTAAAAAAAATTATATCTCTTGTTCATTTTAAGGAGCGTCATGCTTCGATAAGTTTTTCTCTCAAAGGAAAAATTCTTTCCAATATAACAAGTAAGCGATGTGAATGTAATTTGAAAGCAAATTCTTTATGTTAATTTTGTAAAAACAAAAAAAAATGTTTCCAAACGGACTTGAATTTGGTTTAGAGCAACCAGAATTAGCAAAATCGGTTCCTAATTTCATAATCTCGTTTCTATTGAGAATACCAAGACAAAATTCTTTAAAATACAACTTTCAAAACAATATCTGGAACTATCCTTTCACTTTCAAAACATCGCACACATGTAACAGACATTTATGTAGTGCACGCCAGATTATTCCTCATGTTGAACCTTAAAGTTTGCTTTCTCGTTTAAAACACTTAAACAAAATAATGTAAAAATGTTTTCTAACATTATTTTAATAAGAAAATAAAGATAAAGTAACATAATGAAAAAATTAATAAATCACAATTCGTTATAGGATGCTATATAAAGAATAAGTTTCAAATTAATTCAACAAATAAGATATCCTCCATGCCACCTCTGATGTTTTGGAGGTCTGTGTTTGCTCTGGTTCTTTTCTGTATTGTTTATGGACTTTTGACTTGAATACTGTTCGTTATCACCGTATGTTTCAAGATACCTAGAGGCAACTGTGCCTGCAAAATTGGCCTTTTGAAGGACTTTGAAATACTGCACTTGACAGGTCTGTTGTTGGAGAGTGTGATGTTTGTGTAACATCCCTTTGGAATTTTTTCCCCGCTCATATCGAGGCATTTCAATTTAAGACCTCGTACTCGCTACAAAGGGCTATTGAGCAGTGCGGCATCATTTGTTCTGCCAATAAGTACTTTCTGCAAATTGGGGGATCCGTTTTAGAACGGTCTCATTCGAAGGACAATTCTCCGAGTCAGACTGTGAGAATTGAATCCATGACATAGAGATCAACTCCTTACTCCACTTTTGGAGATGAAAAACAATGCTAGAATTAAAAAAAAATAATACTTACTGTTTGTCTATTAAGGATTTATTATTTATGACAGAGAGATTTCTACTTTTTTAATAAAATTTCGTAATAGACTTGGACTATTTTTATGAGCTTTGACTGTTGCCTAGATATTTTTGTTGCCGCTATATTTAAGCGTTTAATCATCAACATTTTATTTTAAAAAAGGAAACACATCATTAATGTTTTATATTTCAAAAAGCGCAAAGCAGCTGTATCCTTAAGTTAATTCATGTAAGAATAGATCGATATCTAAAATTATAACATATTGCTATGATTTCTTATCAACATACGACTGATAACTGCAAACAACGGAAGTGCTGATTGGTGAACGGATGACAACAGATTGTTTACTATGTTTCAAGGCTAACGACATAAATCGGTAAGAACTATATTTAAAGGGTGCAGTCCATAATATTGTCATTTCACAAAGATGATGTACATGTTATGACTTGCGAGAGAACCTTGCATAAAGACATTTTTCACCAGAAGTTTCATCCATGTGATTATAAAAAGAAAGAAAACTAACTAGGTAAATTTGAGAGAAAATGAAAAACTCTAGATCTGTGAACAATTTTTTGGACTTGGGCCTTCCAGAAGATTATTCAACTTCAAAGTTTGGAAATTCCTTGTGTGTTCCACGAAGTAGCTACAGAGACCAAGATACAAGAAGAAACAGCAATATAAGCTGTGGAACCTCTTCTAGCTGTATGAGTGAAAGCAACGATAACTTGCTGGACATATACAACCCGAGTCCATTAAGCTCGCGATGTAACAGTTTGTCTCTTTCTGAAATTCTTCACGTCTCCGTTCTTGGTGATAGAGATGTTGGAAAGCATTCCTTGCTCCATTTGTTTAAAGATTCTGAAGACATATGGAGTGATATGACAGGTATGACACCAAAAATTTTATGAAATCATTTTGCTTAATATAATGATCTGCTGTACACCAGTCCTGGGGTATATACTGAAATGTCTTTTTGTTCTCAAAACAGAAAGTAATGCAGAGGACAACGAAATTTGTGTTTCACTTGATGGCATAGAAACATCACTTATATTTGTTGAACAAATTACCTCGGAGGTAAGAAAGTTTCAATTTCAAGTTCTAGAAATTGATTTGGGAAAAAAGATTGATTTATTTCAAAGAGAATCTGTTCAAAAATGCTGTTCTGGAACATTCCCTAAAGAGACAGATATGATTTCTTCATCCCGTATTAAATGGGCGCGATTATGGATGGTTGTTTTCATCTTTAATTTAAGATTTCTATTTTGCTTAACAAAATAATCAATATATGCAATTGACAGACTGCCCAAAATAACAAAAGTTATGAATATTTACAACAGCAGGTGAATTTATTTTGACCGAGAAAAAATACATTACAAAATCGATAGACTGTACTATTAAAATACTTAGTTGAATTTAAAAAAACAAACAACTTATTTCAGAATATGAGAGCATGCGCATTCATGGATGTTATAGTAGTTATGTACTCAGTAGTAGACGCTGAGTCGTTCAGGTACGCTGCAAAAACTGTTGGAGAGATCAACAAACATAACCAGAAACCAGTCATTCTTGTTGCCAACAAAGTGGATCTAGCAAGAAACCGTGCCATTTTTACAAAAGGTACATTCTTTTATTACAGTGATTTCGAGCATGTACGTCTTATTTACACTTGTCAAAATAAAACAGTGCATGCAGCTAATAAAAATCCTCCAAAAGAGTTTTCTGCATTATATTATACGATTAATATGCTTAGCAATAACCATAACAAAGCTTATTTCTTTTTATCAAAATTATCAATCTAATTCTTATATTTTCCAGACGGTGAAAAATTAGCCTCCAGATTTGGGTGTAAATACGTTGAGTTATCTCTTGCTTTGAATCATAACGTGGATGACCTGTTAGTAGACATTGTTCGACAAGCTCGCCTTCAACCACAATCCTCAATATCAGTAACATCGAAAGGAAAACAACTAAATACAGTTCAGAAATTGACAAATGGACTTCTAAAGAGATGGAAAAAACTTCGACCAAAAGGATCTCCTTGTACGAATTTGTTAAACTGAGCAAGTGTTTCTTGTTCAAAATTTGCTATCTTTTACTCGTTATCCCATATATCCAAAATCCTGTTTAGAACTTTTATTCATGACAAAAGAAAGCTGTCTGAAAATCTTAAAAATATGTTGTAAAAAAAGACGAGAAATTTCTAGTAATTGAGAATCAAGAAATGTTTTGATTAAACAAAAGACTGAACTTGAATTTATAAAAAGAAATTGTAATAAGCTTTGTGGATAGAATGTTTTCTCTCCAATTAATTGTTATTCTTTCCATGAAAATTAAAGAGAAATGGGATTCAAATTAAAAAAGCGGATGAAAAGGTCTTCCAGATTTGCCAGTAAAATGAACATGAAAAACAATCGTTCAATTATGGTGCTACATATCAGCGATACAGCAATAATTGACTTAATGAGTGTTCTGTTTCTAAAATCTTTTTATACATGATTATACTAGTATACCATGCTGTGTATAATATACGTTGAAATAAAGGAATATTTTATGCCTGCAATTTGTTTTATTTTCCTCATTAAATTTCTTGTGAAGTTTTTATTCTAAGCATTAAATAAATAACGTTTTAAGCTTTTGTTAAAAAAGACAGCTTTGTCACTTGTGTCATTTCAAGCTGTTATTAGAACTTGAAATGATCAAGATTTAACACATATTTTGAATTAACATTTTTCCACCTTCTGATATTCTTCAGCTATAAACGCATTGTACCCGGAAATGATTACACCTTTGATAACATTTACTATCCATTTTTAAATTTTTTCAATAAAATAAACCCAAAAAAGTGCCTGGAAGTAGGTATTAAATAAATAGTTTCTGAAGATTTATAGTAATAATTACTTTGGGTAGGATTCTTCTCTGGTTTCTGAGTAGATGAAATTGTTGTTGTTGTTGTTGTTGGCATCCTTCTGTCTCGGGAGACAATGGAGATCGTGCCAAGGATCGGCATCAGTCTGTGGTTGAGTGACAGCGCCGGCTGTGGCTGTAAAGTCCGATTCTGGAGCGGCATGCTTTGTTGCAGTTAGCACAGATGTAATGTGTTTGGCTGTACCGGGACTGAAGCTACTCTTTGTCGTCTGCGCTGTCTTCTCTCATCCCACTGTTCTTCCCTCCTCTTTTCAAAATTAGCCTTGACAGCATGCCTCCAATTTAGTTATAATGCTTCCCAACACGCCGGGTCGAAGCCCTCATGTCACGTTTTAGGACATCATTATAGCGAAAAACAGGCCTTCCTGTAGGTCTTGATCCAGTTGCCAGCTCTCCGTACAGCACGTCCTTCGGTATACGGCCATTGTCCATGCGGCTTACGTGGCCAAGCCATCTCAATCGCCTCTGGCTTAGCAAGGCAAACAAACTGGGTAACCCTGACTGTCTCAATACGTCCTTGTTGGTGACATGATCCTGCCAGCTGATGCCTAAAATTCTTCTGAGGCAACGCATGTGGAAGGTGTTGAGTCGACGCTCTTGGCGAGAGTACAAATACTCGATGTATATTTGCTTATATGTCTCATATATTTAGGTGAAAGAGATTTAAATGACCATTATTTTTCTTTTCTCATCACAAGTGTACAACTGTAAATAAAAATGATAAATTGTGTTTGAAAACTAGCAGGGACTATAATTTTGGCGGAATGGTGGCGTATGAAAATATCTTCTTTTCTGCCTCTCAAAATTATTATAGAATAACGAATTTAGTTATAATTATCACACAATCAAAGACTTGAAGAATTTTTCAAATGTTAGCTAAATTGATAATAAGGGACTAAAGTTTTAAAATATATCAAATAAATATGATTTTCCAAACAAACTACAATTATGTTAGCTTTTAAAAGCTTCCAACCTAAGTAAATATATGAGCCAAAAATCCGTAGAAAGTGTTTTGACTCTCTTAGTAAACGGTCAAAACTTTTTGTTTTTGCATCATTTTGTATCTCTATATGACTTCTTTACCATACGTGAATACAAAAAAAATTCAAATGTAGGGTGCTTATAAAAATAACTGAAATATCCTAAAAATTTAAGAAAAATAGAGAAAATTCGGATTAGCCAAAATCCATTTTTGCTAAAGTATTTGTGTCAATTTGGTAATATCATCTAAAAGACCCTATATAGTTACATGTATATCTTTTCATGCAAAAAGAAAAAAATTAATCTTTTGAAAAGAAGACCCTATCACAGGATAGGATGCAGTTATTTTTATTCTTAATGTCCAGGGAAAAGGTAATGACCTTGACATGACCTCGACTCTAATATAAAACGGTCAAAAGTAATCTAATTGATACCATCACTTAGTAATATTGTCTTCTTGATTCTGTGAAAATTTCATTAATTTTTAAATACAAGAAATACAGTTTTGTGTGAGAAGAATCCTACTTTAATTGCAAAATAGGCAAACCAGGGGCAATAAGCAATAAGCAAGTGCGAGAAATATAAGTTACACCAACCATGTCTGAAGACTATATAATCAGGAAAAACTCCACTACAACCCTCCATCTCGCTTTTAAGATCTACCCTTATTGAAGAGTATGGGCGCCCGCGTGGCACAGGGGTTCAAGCGTTTGCTCTAGAGTCACGAATTAAGGAGTTGATCCTTATGTCACGTGTTCGAATCCCACTGCCGGGCTTGGAGACTGGTCCTGCAGATGAGACTGTATAAACTGAGGCACTGTGTCCAGTAAGCTTTGTTCGAAAAGATCCCTGACTGCCCGATGTCCTGAGTGCCAAGTAATGATCTAAATTTGCAACTCTGAACCGGCAAGTGGTGCCGTTTCAATGTGAGTGAAAAAAATCTTGAAAGGGATATTCAATCAATGCAATCAAACCAATACACCTAGCTTTTTATTTAGAGCACACCCATATGACTGTGCCTTGTGCGTTTGTGCAGAAAGGGATGTTAGATAAGGACAGCTTATTACCGACAGGTCCCCTTCTACCCCTCCGACATTGACAGTTAGTCAGATTAATTACTGAAACATAAATTAACATTTTCCCAAATAAGATAAATAATATATTTACTCACTATCTATTTCTTCTTAGCTATACCATATATTAAGTTAGCATTTACTGTTTCATACGATTCTGCTTCATCATTATTATGTGTTGGTTGAATTAATGTCCACATCAAATAATCCAATGAATGCGTCCTGAAAAAAAGCTCTATACATGGATGCAAATTTTTGGAAATATGTAATTAAAATAAGGATGATGAAATTTACTGTACCATGTTACAATGTGATTACATGTGATTCCCTATAAATACGTTTAGGAAAGGATGCAAGCCATGAATGATATTTCTGTTAAGTTGAATATAAATGTACAAGAACAGTCATGCTTATAATCAATTTAAGATTCGAATTTATGGGAAAAAAAACCTTTAGCAGGAACTTTTTTCCATTATTGCTTTTTGTAATACAAGGTAAAAGCCAGATAACCGTTACATCACTTTGATGTTTGCTACACTTTCGATCATCTGATGAAGTTTGGTTACTACCGGGGATAGTTTTAATTCTATATTATTGGGGTAAATAGGGATGAGCTATATATATAAGCTTAAAACATAAAAATTGTATTACTTGATTAATTGATATTTTTCCATTCGTTTATTGCATGGTAACAAAATTACTGTAAACTTGATATATTTGTTCTTTGGTGTAGTGACGTGTCACTACTTTCGAATAAAGTGTGTTAAGGGTTTTACTCCCGAGAGAAAAAAAAATACTTTTTTGAAGTATTAGATTCCCAAAGAAAGAGACATGTGAAGAATTAAAAGGACAAAAATAAGAAAGCAAACACTCTTAAAAAAGTTTTACTTAGTAGTCATTTTTTACTTGAAATAACAAAGATAAGTAATAGATAATTACTAAGCATTTACTTAAAATTTAAAATCAATTACTGAAATATATGTCAATTACTAGATTCAAATGTTTTACTTGATTTTTTTATTTTAAAGAATTGTTTTACTTACACACTAAAAAGTTTTACTTAGTAATTTATATTTACTTAAATTTGTGTATATAAGTATTTAACATTACTTGGTCTTTACTTACATTTTACCACTATTTACTATATAATTAATATTTTAATGCCCCCGTAAACAAAGTTTCGGGGGTACAGTACTGTATATAGTTTTTGTCGTGTCCGTCTGTCTGTCTAGCTGTCTGTCTAGCTGTCTCTCTGTTTGTCTGTTTATCCACAGAAACTTTGACCTTGCCCATAACTTTTGATTTAGCGGAGCTAAGACTTTCATATTTCACACGTGTATTCCTTGTGACAAGACCCTTCTTTGAGTATCACCAAATTTGACCTTGACCTTGAAGTTTGACTCACTTATACACAAAAAATCCAAACTTAATCTTTATCCAAATCTTTTGAACAGTAAATACCAGGACATTTATACTTCACATATATATTTTTTGTTGAAAGAACTTTCATTGAATACCAACAACTATGAACTTTTGACCTTGACCTTGGAGATTTCCATCCTTGTAAAAAAAACTTTAACCTTGGCCATGACTTTTGAACGGTAAGGAATAGTGCTTTCATACTTACATATATACATTTTGAGAAGACCATTCATAGGATACCAAGAACATTGACCCTTTGACCTTGACCTTGGAGTTTGACCCACTTTTTAAAAGCAAACCTTGACTGTAACTTTAAAAGGATTAGGGTTAGTGCATTCATACTTTACATAGTTCATCCTTGTGACAAGACCTTTCTTTGGGTAACACCAAATCTGTCCCTTTGTCCTTGACCTTGGAGTTTGACCTACCTTTCAAAATTGATAACCTTGACCCTAACTTCTGAAGGGTTGAGGCAAGTGTTTCCATATTTCACATATGTATTTTTTGTGACAGGACCTTTCATTAGATACCAATAACCTTGACTTTTTGACCTTGGAGATATCAAGAAATACCAATAATTTAAATTTGCATACTAGTATAAGAAAAGTTTAACCTTTGCTATGTTGCCATACGGGGGCGTAGGTGTTTCACAAACACATCTTGTTTAAATTGTATTTAATTGATTTACTTAAAACAAAAATTTATTTACTAAATCAAGGAGAATTCAGAGCAGTAATTACTTAAATATGGTAGTCTAATCACTATCGGGATTGAATTCTTGAAATGTAAAATAGAATTTTGGCTTACATATTAATTGTCTCTGAGGAGGAGTTATCTTTCTTCTAAATATTCCTTCATGTGAAAAAAAAGTCACACTAATAAAAATGCGATATTGAGTACTTGAAGTGTTTAACCATATTTAAAATGGTCCTTAAAAAGATACAACTTATTCAATTTTTAAGGCTTTCGAAGTCGGAATCAAATGTTTTATTGTAATATATAATAAAACAATTACAGAGAAATTGGAAAAAGAAATTGAAAGTATAACTGTTTCCATCATAAGTAGATTTCTTCTTTTAAACTATCCAGAGGGCCCAATTTGGGATCTCTGATAAAGAAATCTGTGAGTAGTACTCACATGTTAGAGGGTCGATACCTTGCAGTGTTTCTAGTAAATAATGTCGATTTTAGTAAATATGATAAGTATTTAATTTACTTAGTATTCTTTTGAGTAATAATATTCTAGATTTTAGTTAATTTCAGAATTACATTTACTTAGTAATAATTCATAAAATTTAGTAAATAGAAAGCATATTATCTCTAAATTAAGTAATAATAATTTAACAAAAATGAGTAGTTCATTTACTAACTTAAAGTAATATAATTCCTATAGTTTAAGTAATTCTATTGATACTTGCTTTAGTAAATGATTTTATAAGTAAATGAATTCGTCCTTATTACTAAGTATGTTTACAATTACTAACCATGATAGTCATTTACTTGCTATTCTGACTAAATGGATTACTAATAATTACTAGTTTTTCTTAATCTAATATCTTATTTTAAAAACAACAAGTAAAACTTTTTTTAGAGTGAACGAGGAAACCAAATCCCATCTTTTCTGAGGACTGAAACCGTTTTCTTTATTATTTCTTATTTGTCTCAAAAGCTTATGTGAGCATGTTCGATGAAATCTGTCTATTGTTTCATGATTAAATGTATCTTTACTTAATAATTTCCATTTTCCATTTTTTATCCTGTATATTTAACCATTCATTTAGCAGATTTTTAAACAAACTTTGGTGTAATATATCCGGATTGAAAATCGACACGGGGTCATGTTTCAACGTTAAAATATTGAACCAGGGGTATTTTTTTCAACGTTGAGAATTGAGATCAAAAGTTGTGAAATCCCCCCCCCCCCCCAAGATGACTAAAAAAAGAGCCTGTAACAAAAAATTAGTTTGAATAGATTACAATTTATCCTTATTGACTGATTAAGATTCAGATCTCTAATAATAATATTTGGATTTTTTTTCCTGCCCAAGTTTAATAGATGTTTAGATTCTCTATTCAAACAAGATGATTTTGTAAATA